AAATAGTGAAATTGAAGTGAACTTAACTGATCGTTGTGTAATTTTCATTGTGAATACCACCAATGTTATAATGACGTATTTCGTAATGTTTACTATGCTACAACTTGAGTAAATTTTTATTCGTTTATTTTCAACGAATGCAATTCACCAAGAAACATATCTGTTCTGGTCCCTGAAAACATAAAACATGGCTTACGCTTGCTAATTTTATGACGTGGGTAAATGTTTGGTTTTGTTTTCAAACCTTTATTTACAATCTGTTTATTGTTATTTGTTTTTACACTCAAGTATTATAAAGCAGAACGGTTGCGGAAGTAATGGTTTACAATTAACTTCTGCACAAACTTCTCTCTCCCGGTTTTCTGTGAAGCCATGGTCTCTCTCGAACCTGCCCATTTGTGCCAAAACATGGTTCATGCATCCATGGCCATGAAAAAATCAGTTTCACACTTTTTTTGCTGTGTTTAATATTTATAAACTGCATTATTAAGCCTGCATTGAGTATTATCTGAAATATTAACGTATATTGTAACAGTACACTTGTATTTATTGAAAAAGTAAATGTAAAAATATTAACGTCGAGCAAAAATTGTAACACTGACGTTATAGTTTTTTTTAATTTATTTATTTTGTTTTTATGTTAGAAGGGGCAGACAAGCAGACGGGTCGCCTGATGGAAAGTGACCATCGCTGCCCATGAACGTCTACAACTCAGGAGTCACAAAGCGTTGCTGGCCTTTTAGGCCGGAGTTAGGAGTAGGCATTTGTGGATCACACAAAGTGTCGTCCCATGTTAGGATCGGACCCACAACACGTGTTTTTGATAGTGATACCATGTATAAATTGAGGCAAAACTAACACTGAAGTATACATTCACACGAAATAATAAGATAACTAAACTGCAACATATTTTAATGTGACATTAGGAATTATTATCACGTATATTTTTATTTTACAAACGATTTTTATTTTGCATTCAACTATTAATGATTTATTTTATATAATGACAACATTTAACTTAAAATGGAAACGGTTTTCGATTCATATTTTAGTCATTCTTATATTTAATTTCAAACCCTAAGTTCTATAGAAGAGATTCAGTCACATTAAAATCGATTAAAAAATGACATTTGAAATAATGACTAAAAAGTGTAAATAACGTCTAAAAGTGAAACCATGAATGAATTCTTCTTTTTTTACAATTTTAAAATAGAAAAGTCACGTCCGATTACGGCAATCAAATTACTATAAGACTGCCACTCAATAACCTGGTTTCAAAAAATGGGTTTTTTAAGAGAACCTATTTCTGTCAATTTCCAAGAAACCTCGTAGCCAAAACTGAACTAAAACAGCTGTTTACAAAACACATCCGACCCAGTACCGAACGTTTGTTAATTGACTCAATACAGGCATAAATGTACTCTTAAATGCGAAAATACTCGTAATATAACATTTTTATTTCAATGACCTGGTGCGGGCGGGATTAAGATATCATTTACAGTTTAGTACTGCAACCGTGCTGCTACTGCTACTAATCATACATATTGAAAGAGTAGCAGTAGATCTAACAGTTTTAACAATTTAAAGCAGTTAAAATTTGTGGAATGCATTCCAGAATTCGTTTGGTTTATGTTTTATTTTGAAAGTGTTTAGTTTCTCATGCTAACATACAGCAAACCGCTGAATGGTATGACCCTTTATTGACAACCAATGTAGACGACCGGATGACGTAGTGGTTTGTGTAACGGACTCTATTTTAAAGGTCGCGGGTTCGATTCCCGCTCAAGCCAAACATTTGTGTGCATAACCCTTTAATGTTTGATTTGGTCTGGGTGTTTCTATGTGTAATATGTATGTATTTGCAAAAAAAATATGTATATATGTATTTATATCAGTTGTCTAGTACCCATAGTACCAGCTCTGCTTAGTTTGGGTCTAGATGGCGTTGTGTGAATGTTGTAGAATATTATTATTATTTTATGTACCTTTTTTGTTGCTGTCAATATGAATGTTTTTATTTATTTTTATATAAAAAGTTTTTTTTTCATATTTTTTTGACTAAATTGCGTTAATTAAAATTCAATCCCTTCATACAAGTGCTTCGAGGAAATCTTTTAGGAATATAAAGTGCATAGTGAAGCTATCTATAGTGCCAAGGGATAAAACCGATGTAGAATTACTGTACTGTACCTACTGTTCGAGTCGCTCTAGTCCTGAGGTAAATCCTGATACTAGGGTATACCTTCCTAGAGATAAAAACTAGTTGAACCTTTATATAATTGACAATTATTAGGACTTTTGCACACAGAGCTAGGACTTTTTGGCAATACCCGTATTACCGTAACTTTTTAAGACATAAGTAGTAAGAATACAAAAAAATAATGTAACCACAGATGTTATTGCATACTAATCAAATTATATTTTAATAGCAGAAACTGTAAAAAAATGGAACAATAGATATATAACAATAGCTGGCGTCCTCGTAATCTTATTGCCCTTTTCTTAATTTTATTTGGGCTATTTTGGTTGCTAAGGGGTCTCTTGGGGACTAAATAGCCACTGAAATCTCGAGGACATTAAATAGAACTATTTTTACCAGTGAGTTTAGTAGTTTTTATAACATATAACTTCACCACTGACCTAAGATACAACGAACCCACAGACATTTAAACACGATGCAATGAAAAGCAAATGATTGTTTCACATAGCTCAATAGATAAAATGTGTTTGTTGTTGTGTATGTTTTTGAGGTAGCTAATTGTATGCTATTTAAATTATAGGGCTCTTATAAAAGTCAATTAGAAAAAATAATTTTGCAAGTCAGTGAGTTCACACAAACGCACGCTTGATACATATTTTTATTATTCGTTCTTCAATAATTGTTTATTTTACTTTTAATGATGATTTGGTAGTCTTATAGATACACTTATTACTAATAAAACTTAACTTAACTTATTATTGAAATTACTCTTTAGTTTAAAAGTTTTAAGAAGCACATTTCTTGTAAACTAAAACATTATGTTAACAGATACGATGCAAAAACTACGCTCCCTTTATTTCTGCCAAACAAATTAGGTAAGGTTATTCCTCAATTTCAGCATTGGCGAAATATAATTTTTATAGTAAGTAATTAGCATGCAACAGGCTAGTTTTAACCCTTAAATTGGCAAGATATAATATTTGGTTATAGCATTGTTTTTAAGTATTTTCTTGGTTTATTACCTAAATAGTAGGAGACAACTTTAAAAAATCCAAGATTTTCCATTTGTAAATGGAAGGGTACCACTGGATAAGGCATCAACAACTCTATGAAGAACTGTTGCTCAGTCACGAGTACTGTGGTATACGTTGCCAATTTGTAAGAAAATACCATCTTTTTAGAAAAAAATAATTGGTAAAAAATTTATTTATTTCTTATGGAAAAGGCGCTCATTACAAAAACGACATCTGTTTTTATCCTCAATTTCATGAAGGTTGCCAATATTAAAAATCATCATCAACAGCCATTAACAGGCCACTGTAGGATATAGGCCTCTCCTTAGAAAGAAGGTTTTGGCCTACTTTACCACCCTGGCCAGACGTTTAGGTATAGGGTTTGATTCAAGCTTTCCTTCTCTTTGCAGTGCTGTTGTCCTGCGTGTTTGCTCCCTTAGTCGTACGACACCCACGGGATGAATAGGGGTGGTGACACTTCGTATTCTTAATCCGTCACCACACACGGACAGGCCAATACAAATAAATATTATCAAAGCGAATACTATTCGAAGGTTTATTAGTTGCAGGTTTTGATTTATGTATTTTTTTCCGCTCATCTCTATCCACTATACCTGGTAGGATACTATTGTAGGAAATTGTTTTTCCTGCAATATTATCCTACCAGGTAAATAAGCTTCGTAAATATCATATGAAAAATCTTTTAGGTAGGATAGGTAGTTTAGCTTTATTTTCTCCATTGTATAGCAACCATTCATAATTTATATTACGTCTTGTAAGAGGTGTGATAGGCGATAGCAACTGACGGTGAAGGCAATGATTATATAGAGTTCAATGTAGGAATGGTATCAAAGTTGTTTGTTGAAGTGGAGGGGCTAAAATCAGTAATTTTCGTTTAACTTTGCAACGGGATACATACACAAATTCTATACCATAATGTTTTCAATTTAAATTAAAAGATAACACATTTTGTTATAATCAATTGCTTGGTATTTACACTCTCAAAATAAAACGAAAATAAAAGTTGGTTAGTGCAAAGGTTTTCACCCGAGCCGGAACAAAATGTTGCCGCCTCGACATCATTTTGACTTGTACGAACAGATTTTAGGATTGACAGCTCAATGTATTTTTTTACTAAACTTTAAGATATCTTTAATAATTCTAAATGTTAAAATTACGTGTACTGTCAAAAATAAGTAGTATATAGTTTTTATGACTAACTTATTCTGGGAGACGCTGCAATGATTTAAGGGTTAAACTGACCAAACTAAACACCTTGTCGTTTCATCAAATAATATTTTTTTAAACCACAAAGAGAGAAAGAGAGAGAGAAATAGTGAGAAAAAAATGTAACGCACATTTCATTTCTGTCTGAAATTATTTATTAATGTCAGCCGAACGTGACGTTTTAAACGTTTGCAGTTTTCTAAAGAATCATGGAAATGTCACAATATATTAATGAAACATATAATTAATAGGCGGCATGCACACGCATACCAACGATCAAAGTTTATTTTGATGTACATGTGACGTCATACGTTCAATAGACCACGGTGAAATGCAAACATCAGTAGAGAAATTTTCTTCCCATGTGTTTTACAAAATTAAAAACAAAACACGGCAAATAAGAAAAAGATCGAAATCCTGGCTATTTTGAAACAAATTGTAATTGAAACAGAAGATGAAGAACGCGTCTATTTTGGTACTAAATACTATACTTCAACGCGTTAGAAGTTCCAACCCCGACGAAAATACTGATTGATCACAATCGATCCAGTTACAGTTACCTGATCGTTCTGATCATGAGTCAAGTAGAGCCATCCTAGGAGTGCCTGAGGACAGCTTTCAGTCTTGCCACACCACTGCGGCAAATCCGCTCCAATAGCAGTCGGCGACATACCACCATCAGAACCTCACAATTACTCGAAAATACTCGAAATTATCCCGAATATGAGTCGAAAATACTTTATAATTATGTCTTTGTTTGTCAGGCCATATCGGCTGGGTCGGCGGGTATTTTTGGATCGCGCTTCGGACGGGCGCGCGCGCGCCGGTTACTCTGTGACTAGCGCAGCCGCTCCTTAAGAACGGGAGATCTGGCGATAAGGGATGTGCTTCTATTTCGGTTAAGATATCGAGAGAGAAATAATGTATTTAGACTTAAGTGTAGTTTAAATTCCACCCAGCAATTATTTGTATTCTTACAATTCATATTTATATGACTCTAATGTTTCTATGTATATTTACGTGTTAAGTTCAGGTAGCAGTCTATAGAAAGTTCCAGAATACAAGTAAATATTTTTGGATGGAGTGAATTGTTTAACGATTTACATTTTATGTATTTCTTTTTATTTTCACACGTATATAAACAAGATTATACCGGATGACTGCTATTTCTAAGTAGCCAAATCTTGAGCTTAGAACTTTGACTGTGTTATTTTCAAAGAATATATGTTGTTAAGTTAAAAAATGGTTAGTTGAAAACTTGTTGTTAAGAAATAACTTTTACATTTGTTGTTTGATACTTCTAAAAAAAAAATTGTTCAAATTATTTCTATTTCCTAATAAGAAAACATAAAAAATATCGATTGTTATTTTACCGATAATTCTTTATTAACGTTAAGTGACATCACTATAGGCGACCATGTGGGCGCAGCCGACCGCGCCGCGCCGGGACTACAGGAGAGCAATATTTTGGTTCACCACTTACCAACACACTATCATGACCGGACGCTAAATCATCGCTCAGACGCTTGGTACAGGGTATGAAAAGATTACAAGAAAACTGAACTAGCTGTAAACGAATATGTGTGGAAGTTGAATGAGTACCTAATCTCACACCATATTTTATTGAGACCGGAAAGTGTATTTAGGTATTGTAAGTTTCATAATGATTTTCTAGTGAAATCTAAGTGATCTAGTGAAAGATAAAATGCATTACTTAATAGATTTAATAACACTCTAGCTTTTCCTTGCAGCTTTCTTGGTGTAAAAGTATACCCCTTTTTATTACCACGTGGGAACAGTTTTCAATCTATTTAGTGGTTATTTCAAGTCTAAGTCAAGAATGGCGAGACTGTGTCATATGAACAGAAATTCAAATTTATCAAGGTCCTGGTACTTTCCAGGGCTATACCTGAGCCCTCGGCTATAAATCCCGTGACGAGACACCAACTTAAAAAAGCAAAATTTGGTTAAAACATGTACATAGGTATTTGCCCATAATTTTAAATTACGGAACTAACAATATTTTTTTTGTATCTCGATATTTCCGGTACTGTTTTCAGTCCGGTACCGGGCATTTTGTATATATCTTCAGTACCGGTACAACAATCATTGTTAATAGTCTACTTTGAAAAAACATTCATAAGTGGCGGATTTGACTGTTACTTTGGCTTTTTAGCCATTTTGTGGTAGGTAAACTATCATCTATTTGGGCTGTATGGGTTAAGTTACTTTGTGCTTAAAATAGTAAATAATTATTTGTATGAACACTGATTTATAATAATTATAATATCCGAGAACTGAACCTTTGATGTCTCAGTCAGCTACTATGTAAGAATCGTATCAAATTATTATAATGTTTTAGTTCCTCGAAGAAAGATTTACCGAGAAAACTGTCAGCAAAGCGCTTGAATGAAACTGAAGAGCCACAGTGTAGCCAACAGGAAAGTAGTGCATAATTTTGCAATGAAATAATATATTATAATATTTCGGACATCTGAAACAATGCCATCTAGTTTTAAACTAAGCAGAGCTTATACTATGAGTGATAGAATTTAATATACATTTTTTTTGTAAATGCATACATATTATACATAGATAACAAAAATAGGTTTTTACTTTGTGCACATTTATTTATTAAGTTAAGGTACCTACACAAAATTTCATCAATCATTAATTTTTTATTCACATTTTTTTTGTTTTTTTTGCGTGACATACTTCTCTGAATTACGATAGGAAAACCGATCAAAAATGTTTTTAATGTCTATCTCTTTCAATTAAATCATGTTAAAGTGGCTTAAAGTTGTAAATAAGTGATATAATTTGGTGATTTTTTTGATAAGTTACCCATACAAGCATCTTAAAGAAACAGTGTTTCTATGAAGTCGGCAGTGAGATATAAAATGTGTATTTATCTACTGTATATCACCAAATTCTTTGTAGTATATTACTAATAAAGTAAAGACTGACCTGTTGGTCTAGTTCTTAATAGTTTTGGCAGCTGATCCAGAGGTCGTGGGTTCAATTCCAATCCACGACAAACAACTGCACGATGAACACGTTTTTTTTTTGAATTTACATTTATGAATATTATAAGGTATGTTCATCAGTTACGTGGTTACCACAGGCTCTTCCTAATTTGGGATTAGATGGCCGTGTGCTAGATGTGTCAAATTTATTTTATTATTAACATACTGTAATTTACTCCACTGTGGTCATAGTGCATTACTGAAACATGCCGATCATCAGTAATTCTATACTATTACATTGGTTTTGCTATCGAGGTGTATAAACATGAAGGAAGCTGAACATACCAGCTTCGTAAGCACACCGGAGACCTCCCGCTTTGTTCTCTATAAGTAGGTCATAATCGTCCATATTTTTAGATAAAATATACCACGAAGTAACAAAGTACCAACTATAAACTCAAAACGTTCGACCTAAGTTCTAAGTTAAGGTACCTTGCCAAAGTCAAATTGTGAATGGGTCAGCGATTTACCAACTTACCTACTATTAAGAAATGCTAATTCTAAACGTCAAGATATTAAATGAAAAAGTAATAAGCAAGACAAAGTGTACCTAGACCCTTAGGCAGTACGTTAGTCGGTACCGTATCTGGACGATAAGGGTCAGCTGCCACTAGGTCGAGTCACATCCTGCCGAAACGAGATATTTTAATCGCAAATAAGAATTTAAAAAAGAAAATATTATGAATATTGATCATTATTTTCATAACATCATATCTTGTTCCATTATAAATGTATTTTTACTTCAGTAAAAATTTAATGGTAAAAACAATCTATTTTTATTACCTGAAGAACTAGCATTTACATATACTCAACAAAACCATACTAACATAAATAGCAAAAAAAAAAATAACCGTCTTCTACAACATTACTTGAAAAAAAAATGCCAGGCTCGCAGTTGTTTATGATGATGTCGGTGAAAAAAAAATTGTGGCCATAAACAACAAAGTTTATTTTACACTTGAATCTGGAAGTACTTAAGTATGTTCTCAAGTATGTTGGAGTGTCTGTTTACAATATTTTATTGGCATTGTTGATAACCCATCTTAAATTTACCTACTTCTGAAAGTGTTTGAAGCCTTCACCACTGATGGCGAAGACTTCGAAAGAACATCACTGTACTTTTGTTCGTACAAGATTTGTTTAAGGGTTTCAGGTTCAATCACCAGTATTTTCCAATCCCCAATTGATATTCGCACTATGGGTTTTTTATAAAAGTATTAAACATACATTACAACATACATTTTATACGTTTTTTTATCAATACTTTTATACGATTTTTAATATGTTTTTTATAAAAGTATTAATCAATACTTTTATAAAAAATGATATTATTTTTGATTGATAAACATTTAACCACGACTTAACATTTATATATATCTATAGAGATTATGATTGTTGTTTTTTACAATATTTTTTTTACGATTTTGTTTTTGATGAGTGGCTAAAGAAGTGTGATTTAGACGAATCTATATATTATTTTTATATAGAAACGGTTCAGACAGTTGTTATTTATAACCAAAATGGCAACCCAGTATGTTTTTGAGGCACCTTTATAATTAAAAATAAATAAAAACAACACTCAAAACGCAACGCAAGGCTCACAACAAAATTCAATAAAACACGCAAACGACTCATGACATAAATTGAAAGAAAAAAAATCCATTAAAATCACAAATAAAGAGGTCAATTATAGTTATCAATACTTATTGAAGTTGGTACAGATTACACTACCAAGTTGAAAAGATATTATTTGACATTAATATTGCGGTTAATAATGTCACTTTAATTTCTTCGAGTAAGGTTACTGGACTCTTGTCTATTGTGTCAATTAAGGAGCGTCATGCAGTCCAATTGAGTTTAATACGGTACAGAGTTTGTAGGAGCGGTTAATAAAACAACAATTTTATGTTTATTTAGTTGTATTTACAGTAGGAAAGTCATTTTATACCTATATTAAAATTATTGGATAAAATAATCATAATTTCAAATCCAAGAAGCACTGAACTTTATTACTGTATTTTTATAATTTACAAGATTCATTTAGCTTCGGAAGGCATTTTTTATATCTGTTTGGAGTGATTTCTTTGGACAATAAAAAAACAGACTTGAAATATTGTAATACCATTATAAGAATATTTAAAATCCCAATTCAAAACTTAGAAAAACTTTCTCGGTAACCAACACGTGTTGAAATGTTGCATCGGCAATATTGTTTTTTTTTTTAATGCAACATCTGTGTATCCGGACGCCTGACCATTGCTTTGACGCAACAGAGTAGAGTAGAGTTCTTTAGTTAAAATTGTTTTGTTTTAAAAATGTGTAGTTTTGTTTATGGCTTTATTGAAACGTTTGTATAGTGAATGTAAAAGGTGTCTTTTATCACGCTGAGGTCTTGTAATGACGGGAAGGGTTGCAAATGTAGCGTAATCTAACTAAAAATGTTTGTAATTCCATATATCTCCGTCTGCCTGATCGGAAAAAATGGGATGAAAAATAGACAGGCTTCGTAATCTAGTATCAACTTAGTACAGTCATGACTACAATGGCAACTAGGCGCTACATATCCCTGGTAGAAGATCCAGGGGCAGACCGAAGATAAGGTGAGAGTATGTAGTGGTGAGGGACATGAAGGACTCTCGGGTTTCCGAAGACGACATACTTGATAGAGCGAAGTGGAGTAGACAGAGGAAGAAAGCTGACCCCACCACCATGTGGGACGAATAGCTTGGAAGAGAGAGAGTCTTGGTAGTCTTAGTGACCCTGACTGTTAAGCCATAGGTCGTAGGTTCGAATCCCAGGAAAAAAAATCGTGTGATGGAAACGATGGTATGTTCTAAGTTTGCGTGTAATTTATCTCTAATATGTATGTAGGTATTTAGAAATATTTAATATTTTTAAATTGGTTTAACCGTCTAGTTACCATAGCACAAAGTCTGCCTAGTTTGGGATTAGACTGCCTTGTGTGGGATGTTTAAAGTTATAGAAGGTCATCAATCATCATCATCAACAGCCTATTGCCTAATAGTACATTGGCCTCTCCTTAGAAAGGAGGTTTGGGCCTACTATACCACGCTGTCCAGACAGGCTGGTATAGGGCTTGTTTCAAGTTTTCCTTCTCTTAGTAGTGCTGTTGTCCTGCGTAGTTTTCTCCCTTAGTCAGCTGTTACCACACCCACGGGGTGAATGCCTAAATGGCCTAGGTGTTACTACGGAATTGCTAAAAAGTCCAAACAATAATCCTATACGTCAGGACTTGAGCTATGAAGGAATCTAACTATGTAGGTCTTGATTCTGTAAATAATAAGAGCGAAGTTATGGTCTGAAGCTTGTGAATGTAATCTAGATTATAGCAAAGCTTGAAATTGCGTGTTTTGCAAGAAGGTCATAAGTTATGACCTTCTTGCAAAACACGCAAAACATAACTATACTACTAGGTCATTGAGGTCGTTATATTGATGTCTGCCATATGTCCTGTTTATGATGGGCCACTAGTGTAAAAAATAAGCCTATAGGATTTGTTTTTGAATAGGGGCCTGGAAATGTGGGCCTGTTTGTTGATCATTGTGTGGTGAATACGATCATTTATTCTGTGTCCCAAAAGTAGTTTATTTATAATATATATGTATGTATTTATGAATTTTTATTTTGACTGCCAAGGTGGTGCAGTGCCTGTGCTGAAATCTCGGGTTCAAATCCCGGGTCGAACCCATTGTTCGTAATCTGCAAATATTTGTCTTGGAGTTTAGGTGTTTTCTATGTAAAATATGTATGTATTTACAAACAAAAGTAAATCAAAAATGTATGTATGTGTGTAAAAAGAGTATTCTATCAGTGAATCTAGTTTTCATAGTACAAGTTCTGCTTAGTTTTAAAACTAGATGATAGATAGCATCTAAATCCCTCTATAACCTGCCTAAAGACCTGGGATTGCCAAAAGCTTCAGAAAGCTAATTTCTTGAACGAATATACAAAGCGGCATTACTAGGCTCGTATCAAATATGGTGAGGTAGAGGGGTAACACAACAGACAGTGGAGGTAAGCGCTGACGCGTCGCAAGGAGTACTCCCAAAATCTATACCTGGGTCGCGCGCTCCCGCGGTCCAAGTCCCAGGCGCTGTCGAAGTCGCATGTGTTGTCCTTATCTATCACGCCATGGACCCGGCACCCGCACGATGAATCCATGGACCGCTAAGAAATTGGTCTCTTTATTCTGTCATATGATACTGGCATAACATAACAACATACCTAAACTGACAAATAAAAAGTACACATTTTGACAATCAAAATAAAAATGTTCCAAAAATTGACAGTAGCTATCTGACAAACCAAGTTTATAGTTTCTGTTTGCTACAAGATTTTATTTGAAGAGAAAGTTTATATTATCACAATAACTCGACGCACTTTATTACCGAAGAAAGGCTGTTGTTCCTTCTAACCATAACCTCAAAGGATATTTTAATTCAAGGTAAGATCTTTACAAGTTTTCGATTCGATTCTAAGACTATTAATTTTATTATGTTTGTGTAAACAGGTTCTACCTATATTAGTTATAAGGTATAAAGTGTTTTCTAGCTATCTTCTGTGACGTCTCATTGATAACGGTGATTTGTCTTGTGAAGGCAAATTCTCGTAATAAAAGTTCGATCTCAATTCAGGTCCGATCAACTTTCGATCGAAACTGTCATAAAAGGTATTTTTATAGTAAAGTATTAAAGATTAAATGTTGACTGTAATGTGATTATAACGTATTGAAAATTGAATTAGTAATCTGCTAGTCTAAGTAATACTTTACTACTTAACCACGATGATATATTTTATGACAGTTGTGAGATTGAAAATTGATCGGAACTGAATTGAGACTAAACTGACTAAACTGTTATTACGAGAATTAGTCTTCTGATCTCACGGTACGCGATTAGCATATAAGTAATTAACAAAATTTGATGTTGCCTACATTATCCATGGGTTATTAAATGTGTATAAGTCTTGTGGTTAGTAACTTTTAACTGCTCAGTCAGAGGTCATGAGTTCGCTTCCCAACCAGGACAAATAATTTTGTTGTAAACACTTTTTGTTCTGTGTCTGTGTAGTTTATCTTTAATATAATAATAATTTATGATCAAAAAACCCCAATACCTTTTGTCCATCTCATCCAAACATAAAAGCATAGTTGTATACAACGTTACGTATTCTTTAGAGACAGACTGAACGTCAGTGTCTATGATAGTGTGAACTGTGTTACAGACACTGACGCCTTCCTCTAACAGTTTATGTGACATTAGTTGGTTTATCATAGATAAGATGCTGTTAAAAACTTAATCAATATAGTTCACAATTATATAATTGGTT